TTATATATTTTTTCTCTCATATTGTCTATAAATAGTGCGATTGTCACATGTAATGGGAGATTTTTTAGATCTCCCATTTTGTAACATATTACAACGAACCTTCTGACACGCTTCAACTTTCAAATAGTATTTTAGCATCAAAATATTTTATTTTACAATATAATCTTGAAAATTTTGCATAAAATAATTTCTCCACAACCTTCGTACAAATTAGATGCCCCAAAAAACCAACCTTTCATTGCTAACCTAAAGCAATATTTGCATGCATGGACAAGTGGCAAATATATTATCACAACTATTTTGTGATGCAAATTAATGCAAAAAAAAAAAAATTCGCCAAATAAGCCCCAAGTTATATTTAAGAGAATTTTAATAGATTTTCAGCCAAACTCTAATATGACCGTTCTCAATTTGATTTGTATTAACCATTTAACATGGTTACAAGAAGATAATGTAAAGTTAGGAACAGAAGGTTCTATATTTATCATAACTATGCTGTTTAGGTTGCTAATTAAAGTCATTATATTCCTAATAAAATGCACGCACATTGTTCTCAATTTTGTTTTAAGATTTTATGAAAAGGAGTATAATTTACTCTGAAATGATAGAATAAATTCAAGGGGTTTGTACGTAATTTATCACTATAAATTTACAATTTTATAATGACACAAAAAGACCTATTTTTAACCATCCCAAACGAGAAATATTTGTGTATCTAGCGTATGCAAAGATGCGTATGTCGGTAGGTTACAGGGAGGGTTTTGGAGGGTTATATCTCTGTCACCTATCTGTAACTTATAAATAGATAAAAACAGAAGCGCGGAACTTACTAGTTACAGGTAGGTTATATATAGATTACAAGGATGTTACCTGGGGTATAACGCGGATATAACCCCTAATATTCTTCCTGTAATCTACCGACATACGTTAGACATACGCAAATATTTCTCATCACAATAACAATTCTAAACTTGATTTTGATAGGGAGTCAATTACGGATAAAATAATGATAGGATGTTTTTCTTCTTTTTTTTTTTATTTTCTTATTCATTATTGTTATTAATATTATTATTATATTTAACATTAATATTTTAAAAGAATGGGTGGATAGCCACAAGCTTGGAGCCCAAGCAACGATTAGAGACGGGGCTTGACTGATTCAGAGATTGACGACATGCATAACTTGTTCCCAAAGAAATTGCTTCAAGTAATTAATATAATATCTGCGAGCATTTTATTATTATTTTGTATGATTTTTTTTTATAATGAGATAATCAATTCAACAGTTCTAGAACTATGACATAATCTTCCTTTTATGATATTTGTTATGCAAAATAAACAGAAAATAAAATTACACAATGAATAAACAAATATGGTGGTGTAAATCCGCTATTAATAAGACAAAGATCTTATCGGCGAGTGACGTAGCGCCCGTTATTTGGCCGTTTGGACGTGTTGATGTCTGGACGAAATATTTTATTCCTAAATAGGGAGAAAAAATTGCGTACGACGGGTAGGTTATTCAAAGGGTATTGCGAGGGGGTAAATCCGTGTTATACCCCCTTTAATCTCTCTGTAACCTACAAATATATGAAACAGAAACGCAGAACTTACTAGAAGGTACAGTTATGTTACAGGGAGGTTACATGGGGTATAATGCGGATATAACCCCCCCAATATTCTCTGAATAACCTCTCTGACGTACGAATCACTGCATACGTCTTACATACGCAAATTTTTCTACTAAATAGGGGTTTATCTAATTTTCTATATGATAATTGTCTAAAAGATCGGTGATACACAATTTATATGTTTTTAGCCTAAAGTTAAGCTTGATTCATTACTCTAGAAAGATAATGGTAGTATTTCATGAATAAATTTAGATATGATAGGTTCGCTTATTTTTATTTAATTTATTTATATTCGAATATTAATTATTGATAAAAAATGGTTAATATAGCAACAATTATTGGTTTAAAATTGATTTAAGTTATCACATGATAGCTTATTTGATATAATCTTAAAGATGAGTTTATTTTAGGGGCATTTATATACATACCATCATATTCTTATGTATTTGTATATCTAATACGAAAACTTCCTTTTTTTACTTTTATGTCCCCAAAATCTTTGCAATCATATTAATAAAAAAATCACTTTTTAAATTTGTAAGTGAAATACAACTTTTTATGCCAAGGGAAAGTGGTGTGTATGTAAAAATTGAAATTTAGATGTTAGATATGTAAATAAAAAGGAATTGAGTGGTATGGGTGTAAATCTTTGTTTATTTTAAGTTAGATCTTTTTCTTACAGTGTCCGAATGTGAAATCCTTAAAATAAGTTCTTCACATATTATCTGAGATTAAAAACTATATCATCATATTTTAATAGAAAATTATATTAAGATGAGGTTAAATTTTAGGGGAATTTACATACATACCACTAAATTCCTATGTATTTGCACATATAGCACCTAAATTTCTCTTTTTTACATTTATAACATTCAAATCTTTCATATGAAATAAAATTATCATTGTTTTAACTCTTAAAAAATGAGATTTACCTTTTCATGCATAAGTAAGGAGGTGCAGTGGTAAATTTGAAGTTTATATGTTAGATATATAGATACATAGGAATTGAGTGGTATGTATGTAATGCTTCTTAAATTTTACTTGTTTTATAATGACATAAACCCAATGATACACTAAATGTCATGACCATAGTCCAAATGGACCTAATCAAGCACTTCAAATATAATTGGAAGACTCATGATATTATTTAAGAGACCAAATAATCTCAAAATAGTAGGTGTTTAATGTGAGTTTACCATTATAACAAGAACATCGATAGGAGTGGTCTGATGAACCATGATCACTTATTTATGATGTCATTAAAACTCTAACATACCTAACAAATAATCACATATCGTGGAAGTAACACAATCTGCTCGATATAATGTGAAAATTTTGGTTAAAATAACCAAAATATCACTTTGAATAGTCATGAATCGATATCATTTTTAACAAACAAAGAACCATGAACTGAATATAGCTTATAAAGAAACCTAAAGCCATACTAACAAGTTAACAGTGATGATCACCATTAACAACTACTATCTTTTAATTATCGTCGCCAAACTCTTGACAGTTCTCACTGTCATCCAATTATTATTTCCCAACACTGACTTTTTCTATCATTTGACAATTGTCACTAGATTATCTTAACTAGCCATCAGCCAATTTAAAAAATTATTATCATCCAACTGTTTGATCACCACCTTCTATTATTTGTCCGATACTTTAAGAGACCAAATAATCTCAAAATAGTAGGTGTTTTATGTGAGTTTACCATTACAACAAGAACATCGATAGGAGTGGTCTAATGAACCATGATCACTTATTTATGATGCCATTAAAACTCTAACATACCTAACAAATAATTACACATCGTGGAAGCAACACAATCTGCTCGATATAATGTGAAAATTTTGGCTAAAATAGCCAAAATATCGCTTTGAATAGTCATGAATCGATATCATTTTTAACAAACAAAGAACCATGAACTGAATATAGCTTATAAAGAAACCTAAAGCCATACTAACAAGTTAACAGTGATGATCACCATTAACAACTACTATCTTTTAATTATCGTCGCCAAACTCTTGACAGTTCTCACTGTCATCCAATTATTATTTCCCAACACTGACTTTTTCTATCATTTGACAATTGTCACTAGATTATCTTAACTAGTCATCATCCAATTTCAAAAATTATTATCATCCAGCTGTTTAATCAGCACCTTCTATTATTTGTCTGATACCTTGATTACACTCACAAGAGATCCGTTAGCAATTAATATTTTGTAATCCCTTATGTTTGTATGCGAAGCTTGATTATGTCCATCAATTGTTCAGTTAGAGTTATCAATTTTTGCACAACATGCTTGATGTTGAGTTTGTCGGGGGGTACAAGTGGTGCACCCCTATTTGGGTGACAAAAGACTAAAGTATCGTTCTCGTTAGTTTAAACTCCAACCTTGTTCAAAAGACTGAAGTGTCACTTTTGTTAGTGAACCATTAAACTAACGTGAAATGATTGAAGAACTCATTTATTTAAAGTCCAACCTGATAATATTTTACATAAAATAATGTATTTAGAATTTGCCAAAATCTAATGAATTTCAAATATATTGAAATTTAACTGAAGATGAAGTTATAAATTTCAAATTTTTTTCTTTTTTTGAATTGGATTTGGCTAAAGTTTCTTATTTTTGAAATTTTAAATGATTTTATTTTGATATCATTTTAATCTAATTGCAAATACATATGCCAAATATTACAAATCCTGATCATGCTTGCAGTTCTACCAAATTTAAGAAAAATAAAAAGAAGTAAATGGTAAAAGAGGAGGGACAAGGAAGAGAGACTAAGTTTAGTAAATTTAGACTTCATGCTTACCAGATTAAGGGACTAAATTTCTCATTTCATATTTTTTTTTTTTATTTAATTTTTATTTTTTAAAAAAAAAAAAGGTTCAGGGCTCATTTGAGTTTCAAAAAAATGACAAATTGATTTATAGGCATTAAATTTATTATATTTTGTCATGATACTGAAGCAACAAAAAATAATTATATTTTCAACTCTTAAATCTTTGTAAAATTATACTTTTATTTTCACATAATTAGACGTTCAAATTTATCATTTTTTTCCAGCATAACTTTCATCTGTTAGGAAGCAAATGAAGTTTTATATTTTTTTAAATAAACTTTTAATTTCTCTATTTAATAATACATTGATATCCATATTTCATTATTTTTAGATAAATGCAGAGATTAAATCTCTTAAATCTTATGCAGTTTTGCACGATAGTTTATATTTTCATTATTTTCAGATAAATGCATTTTTTTGCACGACTGTTAGAGCAGATCCAAAGGCTATAAACTTGTCGCATAGTACAGTCCGTTCTTCCTGAACCACGCGCAATACTAATTTCAGAGAGGATTGGACTAGGGGGGGTTCTTCAGGCTAATTTCCGTAGCATTTCAGAAGCTAGTTCGATGGGGAGGTTTCAGTGGTTGGAGGCTGCTCTTCCTTTGGGAATCATCGCCGGATTGCTCTGTGTGATGGGAAACGCGCAGTATCAGATCCACAAAGCTTATTTTGGTCGAGTAATATCAATATTCTGTCTGAATTAAACTAATATTGATAATCCGTTTTCTTCCGATTCGATCTTTATGCATCTGATGATGTTTGTTTCCTCTTGTTTTTTTGGATTTGCTTCAGCCTAAGCACATTGGAAATGACGTATGGGATGTGGCCATGGAGAGGAGGGACAATAAGCTGTTGGAGGAGGCCGCTGCGGCGGGGGATTAGGTTTTTTTCCGAATCGCTTTTTTTAAAATTATTTTTATTTTTTTCTTGCTTCTGCTTTTCTATTTGATGATTTAATCAGAGTGCTTGATCTGTTGGGCAATCATGATTTTATTTTTGAATTAGGGTTTTGATTGTACTTGTTATTGGATAGATTTTTACTAAGCACCATTTTTTTGTTATAACTAGCTTGTTGGGGAGATTGTTTACATTATATTTAAATGCTACACAGTATAACTTAGATGTTCTTAATTTCTAATTTTCATGTGCTTGGTTGTGCTCGGTGTCTTTTAATCGAACAATTCTACTTAGAGAGGATTTCGGAATTTCATCATTGTCATGTTACAATGGATGTGACACTCAAGTACACATTCATGCATGCATAATGAAGCCATTCTCAGGATTTTAGTGTCGGGAAACAGTGAAGTTAGAGTGTTAAAAACTAAGATTTGGAAACATATGTGCAACAAATTTAGCAAAAATAAAAGCTGAAAATGATTGTATAAAAGGAATGATAGGAGAGATGTCTATTGAAAATAAGACTTTGAAAAATATGCTAAGGTCATTTGGGCATCGGTTTTGAGCAATCAAAAGTAACTAATATGGAGTGTAGGTAAAACTAGTGTGCAAAGATTTGGAAGTAAAATGGTAGAAAAAAAGGGTGTCATAGCCCGAAATTGTTCAACAAGAAGTACTTTATTGAGTCAACGCCTTTTTTAGGCCACAACATAGAAGAGTAGAGGAGGAGGATTCATAAAGATGACCTCAGATAACTTGGATAATAGGTAATAACATTCACAGCCAGATGACACAAAATCCCACTAAAATAAATAAAAAATTTTCATTTGTTTCATTGATATAACCATTGAATATGTATAAATGTAATGAATATGCTATGTATTAGATTGCAAGTCATTATTAAGAGACTCTCCATCGAAAGCCATAAAACTTTCTGTGGTATTCATGCCATAAAAAAAATTGTGAATTCGGCGAATGATTCTACCATTTTATAGATGTATGAATTCTTGCATGTGATTAGTTTTAATAGTGTTAAATAAAATGAGTGGTCTTGATCTTATGTTTGATTGCCATCTTTATAATATTAAACGAAGGTGAATGGCTATCTTCTTGTGGAGGAGAATAGTTCACATTCAAAAGGTGCTCCCACTTGACCATTTGGGTATCAGCTTTCCTGCTCATCAATCATTGGTATAATCCTATTATTATTAGAAAATATTTATTGACTCTATAGCTATTTGTAATAATACTACTTATGTCATCATATATATATCCTCATCAACTTTAGTTTATTATATATTAAGGCACATGAGAGCATTGGGTTTAGTTCAAGATTAAATGGTTGAAAAATGTGTTGGTATTGAAATATATTGTAGCTGTGTTTGAGGCGGTTCAATAGTGTGTGCTTCGAAAATGACTCAATATGATTGAGCGGGCACTTGATGTATGATTCTTGATGAAGTTGACCAAGATGGCTTCCATTTGATGTGAGGTGATGAATGATGTGGAGAGCTCTCATATGAAAATGAGTTTAGTCCATCATCTAAAAGTTGAAAATATTATGTTCTTAAAATACTGTACGATTTTGTGCCTTTTCAAGATTACTAAACATCATATTAATATTTTTTCATCGTTATTGGGGGGAAAATTTGAGAAAATCGTGTTGATCTCACTTGATATTAAGTAGTAGAAATCTCATGGTTATATTTATTGACCTCACTTGATACTAAATAATGACACTCATGCCATTATATACAACACCTGCATAAGGATCCATTCTCAAGGGATTTCTATAATGAAGAATTTAAGGATATGGGGATTAATTTGAGTTGTTGCTATAAGAATCTATTCTTGAAATGGGAAGGAGTGCATAGTTTTGAAGGGGCATTACAACACCTGCATTTATTTTTTTTATTTCCATAAAAGATTAATTCAATATTGAACAACACATGCATGCCTTCCAAGACCCCTTTCAAGCTGTTGGATGGATATCTTTCGTTCCCATTTTATAACCATTATCTCTTAAGATTTTGCATTGTCCGAGTCCCTTTGAGAAGTCATTTGTTAGCCGATTTCTTGTAGATATCTATGGCGTACAAATTAAACAATAGTGTGTGCTTCGAAAATCACTCAATGTGATTGAGGGGGCACTTGATATATGATTCTTGATGAAGTTGACAAAGATGGCTTCCATTTGATGTAAGGTGATGAATGATGTGGAGAGCTCTCATATGAGAGCGAGGTTATCACTCGTGATAAAATTGAGTTTAGTCCATCATCTAAAAGTTGAAAATATTATGTTCTTAAAATACTGTATGATTTTGTGCCTTTTCAAGATTACTAAACACCATATAATTGATATTAAGTATTAGAAATCTCATGGTTATATTTATTGACCTCACTTGATACTAAATAATGACGCTCATGCCATTATATACAACACCTGCATAAGGATCCATTCTCAAGGGATTTCTATAATGAAGAATTTAAGGATATGGGGATTAATTTGAGTTGTTGCTATAAGAATCTATTCTTGAAATGGGAAGGAGTGCATAGTTTTGAAGGGGCATTACAACACCTGCATTTATTTTTTTTATTTCCATAAAAGATTAATTCAATATTGAACAACACATGCATGCCTTCCAAGACCCCTGTCAAGCAGTTGGATGGATATCTTTCGTTCCCATTTTATAACCATTATCTCTTAAGATTTTGCATTGTCCGAGTCCCTTTGAGAAGTCATTTGTTAGCCGATTTCTTGTAGATATATATGGCGTACAAAGTAAACTAATTTCTAATCCCACTTTTATAAAATATTTATCCATCCCAACATATATTGTCTATCATGCTGCATAGGATTGTGTGCAATATTTATTATTAATTTATTTTCAAAATATTTCATGTTCATCTCTCTTTATCTTCAGATTTTTAAGGAGAATTTTCAATTACAATAACTCATATACCTCGTGTCGTTGCTCTGAATTTTGCTATTGCTCTAGAGTTTGTTATTATATATTGTTTTTTTTTTCTATGTGACAAGATTATCCTAAAGAAAGGTGCAGTATGTAAAGGTGTGTCCCTTATCAGTTGGTAATTTTTCATGGTTTTCATCTTTGTACATATAAATTCTAATTTTGTGTTTCTTGTCAGCAAAATTCCTCTTTCTTGATTTGCTTTTATCTAATGAACAATATGGTAGATAGCCTGTGGTGGAATTTTTGAATTATTCATGAATTAACTTGCCATATATAATAATAATAATAAAGAAAACTTGCCATATATAATCATAAGCTATATCAAGTGTTGCATGTGCAAGATAAATTAGTTTTCCTTATAGTTTGTTACATTTCATTGTCCACAACAAGATTTTCTTTCACTTGTCGTTCTTTGTAATTTAGGTAAATTGTTTTGTAAGCAGGTTATAGGTCAACTTTCCTGTTTCCTTAAGTATGGGAATTACATACTTTTGTGTGTAATGAAGATGCCTTGATGTGAGTGATCAACCTTTATTCTTAAAAATCTTTCAATTTCCCTAACTGTTTTATTGCGAACTTTTTGATCAAACACTTTAGAGACTCCTTTTCTTACTTATCAAATTTTTCTATAATTATGTTACCAATATCACAAAGAAATGTGCAGTATGTAAAGGCGTGTCTCCTATCTATTGTTAAACTTTAATAATTTTCATCTTTGTGCATTTAAATTCCAATTTTGTGTTTCTTGTCAGCAAAACTCCTCTTTCTTGATTTGCTTTTAATTAATGAAGAATTCGGTAGATAGCCCATGGTTAAATTTTTGGATTAATCATGAATTAACTTGCCATATATAATAATAATAATAATAAAACTTGCCATATATAATCATAAGCTATATCAAGTCTGGCATGTGCAAGATAAATTTGTTTCCCCTATTACATTTCTTTGCCCACATGAAGATTTTCTTTCACTTGTCGTTCTTTGTAATTGAGGTAAATAGTTTTGTAAGCAGGTTATAGGTCAACTTTCCTGTTTCCTTCAGTATATGAATTACATACTTTTGTGTGTAATGAAGATGCCTTGATGTGAGTAATCAACCTTCATTCTTAAAAATCTTTCAATTTCCCTAACTGTTTTATTGTGAACTTTTTGATCAAACACTTTAGAGACTCCTTTTCTTACTTATCAAAATTTTCTATAATTATGTTACCAATACACAAAAAAACAGAAAAAAGGTAAATCCACTTGCATTTGAGTATTTAATGAACATGGCTTGATCATCTTGACTTTGCTTGTAACTTGTGGATATTTTTGTTTTTCTAAATCTCTTAAATCATTTTTTAGGTAATTGCTTGAAACCATATGATGCCTATCTCATTTTGCTAGTGTTGTTGGTTCCAAGATCCCCCATCTCTTTCATGAAATCTAAGGGAATATCTATGTAGATTTTCGTCTTTAAATTGCCACGAGGGAATGCATTTTGAACGTCAAATTTTTGCAAATCCTACTTGTATTCTCAAAAATGGTCTGCACGGATCTTAAGGCAATCCAATGACCCATATAAGAAGATCAGAATTCCCAAAAAATTCTGTACAACCTCTTTAAAGCAAGGGCAATGCTGTAATTTACTTTTGACCCTCGTATCATCTATAAATAGGAGGGGCCTTTCATCAAAAGGAGCTTTTGGTTCCCCTCACTCTTAACTTCTTTTTTTTTTGGGTGGAATAAGATGGATCTAAGAGCCCAGGAACACTCCATTCTTCTCGACGGGGCAAATCCTCCTCTTCACCTCCTCTCTCTCTCTCTCTCTCTCTCTCTCTCTCTCTCTCTCTCTCTGCACCCTCTCAATCTCAAATGACTATAATTGAAATGGTGTCTAGACTTGCAAGGAAAGCTTTATGAGATGATGAAATCTCAAATGACACAAAGAGAGATAGGATATAATAACTGTTAGTTGTGCTTTTTTTTCATATTTAGGATTTTTTTTTGAGCTTTAGGTTCAAAAACTAT